TTTAAAACTTAGAGCACGAGGGACGCCTGGGTGGCTCAGTTGGTTAAGCAGCTGCCTTCGGCTCAGGTCATGATCCCGGCGTCCTGGGATCGAGTCCCACATTGGGCTCCTTGCTCGGCAGGGAGCCTGCTTCTCCCTCTGCCTCTGCCTGCCATTCTGTCTGCCTGTGCTCACTCTCCCTCTCTCTCTGACAAATAAATAAAATCTTTAAAAAACAAAAACAAAAACAAAAAAAACTTAGAGCACGAGTGTGAAGGGCAGAGGGAGAGGAGAGAGAATCTCAATCAGACTCCATGCTGAGCACAGAGCCCAACTTGGGGCTTGATCTCATGAGCCTGAGATTACAACCTGAGCTGAAACCAAGTCAGAAGGTTGACTGTGCCACACAGGCATGTACCTTAAGTTATTTTTATATCATGTCTTTAAATCCATCTTGGGATGGATCATGTTAAATTTTAATGTATCTAATCTCTAGGAAAAAAAGTAATTGCTTAACCTGAATTTTCTTGTAGATGTATTCTGGCACAAATTAAGTTTGGTTGTGGGAGGTGTATAGAAAAAGAAACATAGACTCAAAAATTATAAGGATTTATCAGAATGCTGAGTTTCTGAGTCAGATTCTCGTTTTTCCATTGAATAAATTAGATGGCTTTTAATACCTTGTTGTCTAACTTACGGGTTTTCTCCTTTTGGACACTTTTATTTGTGCAGCAGTTTCTTAAAACTTAGATGTTGAAAAAGATCAGTTAAAAAATACCTGGTCTTAACTTGGTTTATTTATTTTTTAAAAAGATTTATGTGTTTATTTGTCAGAGAGAGCACAAGCAGGGGGAGTGGCAGGCAGAGGGAGGAGCAGGCTTCCCCTTGAGCAGGGAGACCAATGTGGGACTCCATCCCAGGAACCTGAGATCATGACCTGAGCTGAAGGCAGAGAAGCTTAACTGACTGAGCTACCCAGGCGCCCCTTAAAACTTGGTTTAAATGTGAATTAAAATGCTCTTCAAATTCCTGATAGTTCTGTAAGGCCTCATTAAAAATGAAAACACAGCCATATTTTAAATATGGAATCTTCCCTATATCATAAAAATGTGTCAGCTTCTTACTACTGACTTAGAAATCTAAGTCTTTTTTTTTTTTTTTTTTAAAGATTTTATTTATTTATTTGACAGAGAGAAATCACAAGTAGGCAGAGAGGCAGGCAGAGAGAGGAGGAAGCAGGCTCCCTGTTGAGCAGAAAGCCCGATGTGGGGCTTGAACCCAGGACCTGGGATCATGACCTGAGCCGAAGGCAGCGGCTTAACCCACTGAGCCACCCAGGCGCCCCAGAAATCTAAGTCTTAACCAGAAATTATGATTTAAAGCTCACTTTTTTCTACCCTAGGGCCTTTATCTAGAAGGAAAACCACATATGCCACAGCTAAAGCTGTTACTATCACACTTTTCCCCTTTTCATTTAAACTACAAACTTATAATGTGTGTCAAATTTTAGCAAAGGCATTTTAAAAAGAAATGTGTAAGATAACTTTGTAACTTGCAGTGTCCCTCATTAGTTCTCTCCAGCAAAGGTTCACTTAAAAGTTACTGAAAAAGAGAGTGCCTGGATGGCTCAGTCAGTTAAGCGTCTGCCTTTGGCTCAGGTCATAATCTCAGGGTTCTGGAATTGAGTCCTGCCTCAGGCAGCCTGCTCAACAGGAAACCTGCTTCTCCCCCTCCCTCTACTGCTCCCCTGCTTGTACTCTCTCCCTGTGTCAAATATATTCTTTTTTTTAAAAAAAGATTTATTTATTTATTTATTTGACAGAGATCACAAGTGGGCAGAGAGGCAGGCAGAGAGAGAGGGGGGAAAGCAGGCTCCCTGCTGAGCAGAGAGCCCGACTCGGGGCTCGATCCCAGGACCCTGGGATCATGACCTGAGCTAAAGGCAGAGGCTTTAACCCACTGAGCCACCCAGGCACCCCAATTCTTAAAAAAAAAATCTACTGAAAGAGCCTAGAAGGGATATAATTTTTCCCTAGTAAAACAAAGTTTTTTGCTTGCCTGGGGAGAATGTTTTTGGAGGAATGTCAAGGTTCTCCTGTTGAGTGTAAAATACAGAAATGGATACTTAGGAGTGTATAACTTGCCAGTGACCAGCAGTACTCCATACCAGGCTTTTATTGAACAAAGAATCTTTTTTTTTTTTTTTTTAAGGTTTTGTTTTTAAGTAATCTACACCCAATGTGGGGCTCAAAACTCACAACCCTGAGATCAAGAGTCGCATGCTCCGACGGAGCCAGCCAGGCGCCTTGAGCAAAGAATCATTCTTTCTCACTTTTTAGGTACATGGTCGAAAGTACAGGACAGGGTCTTGAGCCAGATTTCTTCCTAGATTCAAGGGAAGATTTGGATCTGCGTCTTACAAGCTAGCTGTGTGATCTTGGGTTACTTCAATGTCATCCTCTGTGACATGGGGAAAATAATAGTAGCTCATAAGGTAATTGTGAGAACTTAAATATTTAAAGCAGTATATGCCTAGCATAAGACCTAGAGAAATAACTTGCTACTGTTGCCACAACCACCACTTTCTGTGTATGGCATAGGAATTTCATCCTGGTAGCTTTTATCTTTGTGCAGCATATACTCCTTATGAATGAAAAGTGTTATAATGTATTCTTATCTGAGATTACAATAATTGTAGTATGATTGTTCATAAATATCTAGAAGAATGCATTAACTTTATTCGGCATTTGTGGAGGGCAGTGGGTTGGAGGTCATGGGGATTATAGTGAAGGGAGAACTATATTCACCTCCTATTTCAGTTCTTGCCTCATTCGTTTATGTATTGCATAAACTCCAATCTATTCCTCTACTGTTTCTATTCTCCCTTACGCCAAGCACAGGGCCTGACAAAGGAGAAATGATGTCTGCCTGTGAATGAATGAGGAAGAGTAACTGGTTCAGACCGTTAAGTAGTAATGACCAGTTGTCATCCCAGAATTCTGCTTGGCGCATCCCACATCCTTTCAGAGACAGGAGATATATCTCCACTGGTGGGGCTCAGTGGAGTGGAGGTCCTCTTAGGAGAGCTTTACAAAGGGATCAGAAGCACACAGCTATGCCTGTCAGTCTTTAAGTTGCATAAATTACCTGATTTGTACAAATGCTGTATTCCCTTGGGATCCTGGTGTTTTAGTGTTTTTTTGCTAAGTGGCAAAAAAATGGATATTAAGTTGAACATTCTTTTTTATTGTTTATTGCTACTGGTATGATTGAGTAGATGGTTTTCACATGTTAGGAGGGAAATACACATTCTAAGGCTTTGATCTTTGTGCATTGTGGCCATATTTTCCAGAAGGTAGTCCTCTTTACCCATTGCTCATTTTTAGATGCTGTTGATTACAAACATATGATTGCCACCCCTAGTTTAACTTTTTATCAAGGAATCCAGCAGGGAGGGGCGTCTTAGTAGGCTGGGAAGAACTATTGAAACCTTATTAGAGTAAGTGGTTAGAAAAATAGCACGAGGGCTAGAAAACCAGAATGAGAACAAGTTGCATGATACTACATTGTATTGAGGGAAAACTTATGAGTGTTCGGCAAGATAACGGGTACATGTCTGTAATCTTATAATCTTAACTCTTTAGTTTTTAATGCTGAACTTTGCTCTAAGAGCATGACCTTCTTCCTTTTTTTTTTTTTTAAAGATTTATTTGTTTTTAAAGATTTTATTCATTTAAGAGCAAGAGGGAGAGCAAGCGAGCACAAGTTGGGTGAAAGGCAGAGGGAGAAGCAGACTCCCTGCTCAGCAGGGAGCCTGATGTGGAACTTGATTCCAGGACTCTAGGATCATTGCCTAAGCCGAAGGCAGCTGCTTAACCGATTGAGCCACCCAGCACACACCCCCCCCCCCCCCGCCCCGTCCCGAAGAGATTTAGAACGATTGTTGAAACCTACCAAGTTTTACTTATGGAGGGAGAGGTTCAAAGTTAAATTGTTTCATGCACTCAGATTACTTTTTTTGCTTCTGTGATTGCTGCTGGGTTACAGTTAATAGTATATTTAAGTATGTAAGATATACTTACATAGTATAAGTTTTTCCATGAACAAAAGGGTGAATAACCTCATTAAATCTCATTTAAGAAAATTGTTCTGAGTTAAAATTCAGAAGCAATTATTTTTATAGATCACGTGTATGAGATTTCTTTCTCAATGTCAGAAAAGTCTTTTAAAAAAGTTATGATTATATGTTACTGTTTTTGATGTACCTTAGTATTCTAAAAATAATTATTTCATTATAAGGACTAAAAATCCTCTAAATCAGTGATCCCAGAGTTGATTACTCTGATGTGAATTGTTTTTACTTAAAATAAGGGAGTAAGGCGACAAGCAAATATGTTAAAATTAAGGCTTAAAACAGCAATCCTTCATTTGAATTATTCTTTGTATTTGAAGTCTCTGTTCTGAAAGCCCAAGTGAGAAAGCTTATCTTGCCAAGCTTATTTCAAGCAGGTACTGTCTCACACAGGAAGGTCAGGCCCTGAGTATTTGCAAAGCAGACAAGGATTCAGATATTTTCTGGTCACTCTGTAAGGTAGGGTCTTTGAGCTCATTGATGAAGTGACTGACATGGTCAAGGATGACAACTTCAGCCGTCACCATGTCCTGCGAAGGTCAGGACCACTCCAACCCTAGCTCAGTGGTAGGCTAGAAGGAATTTTTTAGCTGGAACGTCATGTGGGAGTTAGCATCTTAGAGTGGACCCCCCAAGGTGTTTTGCTGCTGAACTGACTTGTGCCAGAGAGTGCCCTCTCCTGGCCAGTGCTGGTGTGCCCACACCTCAAGTCTGTTCTCTTTTAGTAACCCAAGCTTCACCTTCTGTGAAGTCAGCAAGTTATCTGGAATACATTCATTATGAAATTTCAACTGCATTTTGGTCTTATTTTTAAAATTTTTTTGTAAATGGATTTAAAAGAACTCAAATGACTGCTCTACTCTCGTTAACTTGGTTTTTTCTACCATAGGTCTCAACAAATGGCAGCTATTACATCAGACAGTGACGAGTCCTGCTGCTCCCTTACAGTGTCTGACAGACCACTGTGGATTCAGACTGGGAGCGTTGAAGTTAACAGTGAGACGGGCAGGTCTGTCTGTGTTGAGCCCTGCCACAAAGTGAAGAGGGCATCATGTCATCACTTAATCATTCTGAAGTAGATGAGGCTAGACCTAAAAGAATTCATTAGTTCTTGTTCTGTAGTTTTCATTGACCTTGGTAGCTGGGTGTACCTCATGTAGGTGACAGTTGTAATGAGTGAAAATAACTTTCAACTGTGCTAAAAAGAAAAAAAATAGTAGAGCTAGCCTCCTGTGAGCTTCTGTGAAATGACAGTTTTTCCTAGGGTGCTGAAAGTTGGGTATCAGATTGTAGAACTATGTCAAATAGCAACTGCGTCTCCCTGGGAAGTCAGATAGTGGATTTCTTTATCTTTTCACTATCTCAGTCTTTCTTTGTCACTTTTATATCCACTTCTTAGTCATTCTTAATGTGTGTATATATAAGAATATATATATATCCATATGTGAATATATATATATTTTCTTAGTGAATTAACCTCAAAACCATTGTCATTTACATTAGAAAAGTCAAAACTCAGAGGGGCTGTAATTTTTTTCTTTAATAAAGTGCATTTATCGAGACCTCTTTGGATAGCGCCTTAAAGGCTTATTTTGGGCTCTTACACTGATGGAAAGGTTTAAGGATTTCTGTTGTGCTGCTTTTGAACTTATGATCTCTTTTTGCTTCCTTGAATTAAGCTATTTAACCCTGTGGTGTTTGCAGCTAGCGAAGAGCCACGATTGGGCCTTGACACGACACAGGAGCTGTAATTTGCAAGCTGGGTCAGAAATGGCACAGTTGGGATCAGAGATTGAGGCTGGGAGATTCTGGACTCTGAGCTGTACTATAGGGATGGTAGCTACCCTTATGATTTCTTGAGAGAATGGTGTTTTAGTTCTGTGTACCTCTCGCAGGAATAGTAAGACCTCCTTCAACCCTGGGCTTTCTTGTCCACTTGAATAGGCCTAAGGTTGAAGCCAAATACTGAGTCATAAATAGAAAGAAATGGAATTATGTATGGGATTGGTTGTTAACCTTTTTTTTTTTTTTCTTTCAGTTTACTTCCAAAATTCTGTGTGGGTCTAAAGAGTATTATAATACTAGTTTTAAAAAGTAAACGTTTCTTAGTTTAATATCAAATTTAAAGGTGTTAAGCATTCTATTTCTTCAGAGGCAAAGACTATTCACCTTCTTTTCTGATGTGTGGGGTATTTACAGCTAGCTATTGCATGAGAAAAACATGGCAGAATGCCCCGTTACTGTGTTTTATAGGCCTTGATCCAGTAAGTCAGGAAGGCAACCCAGGAAGCTAATAGAAGATCAAGAGTTCTAGCAAAGAATGGCAAAGACTTTTGAAATCTTTGGAAGTTAAATATCGGGAAGGACGGGGGTGGTTTTTCTTTTTCTGCATTCTGTGTTTATTTTGTCAGTTATTACTCCACTGAACACGCCACAGATCTTTGGTTTAAAAATACGTTTGACCAAAAAAATAATCATCATTCTCTCCACGATCACTTCTTTTGGAATTTAAACTCTTATTGGCACTTAGTTTACTGGGTCCGAGAGGCATTAACCAAGGATGATAGAGGATTGCAGTGGGGTTCTTACCACTTGGTATTAAAGGGAAGTTGATGACGCTGGGCAGAAATTCCGGTCATGCTGTCTGGCAGTAATTTTTCTAAGCCTTGTCCTCTATAAATGTTTTGCTCAGTCTTGCTTCTTGTTGGAGGTATGGTAAAGAGAGCCTCTGTTCCTGATCTGGTGTGCTGGTGTAATAAGGGACAACATTGGTCAGTCTAGTGTACAGAAGTTGTCTTCGAGTAGCAACGTGGTGCTCTGGATGCCTTCTGGTGTGTCTACCTTGGGGAAGGCACCCCCCCCCCCCGTTTGCTCTTTGTACATATGCAGACGGTACGGCCAGCAGCTGACCCGTGCCTTGGTTTCGTATGTGAATCGGCCTCAGCCTGCTTGGAATGCCACTGGCGCTTCAGAGCGGCCCTTGGCAGTGGCGCGGACTTCCAGAGGTGAATGTGGGTGCCGGGGCGGAAGCGGGTGGGCAGCATAGAGACCCTCACTAGGCAAATCTTCATCAACAAGGATTTTTAAAAACCTCAAGTGCAGCTTGACTCTGTGAAGGTGACAACAGTTTTATGGTGGAATTTGGCCAGTTGTACTTTGGAAATAAAATGAATGCTTCTGCTGGTCTAGAGTGGAAGTAAATTGTCTTTTCAAATGTTGGTTAAGTTTAGCTGATTTTAAGAAACAAGTGTGATCCCATAAATAGGGCTGAATTTAAAGAACGAGGACATCATTTTTCTCTTATTTACTTGTGCTTAACTACATTTTCTTCCTTTTCTTTACTGTATTTCAGCACAAAGACATTAGCAGGATGCTGGTTTCATGGACCGGTCCCATAATGACACCACACCAGAGCGTCAGGACTGAATGACATTGGAGACTCAGATTTTTAAAGCTGCACTAAGAAGTTAATGTTAAGGCAGTGGTTAAAACCAACAGTCTATAAAGGGGCACTTGCAAATTTTGCTATATGAAACCGAAGAAAAGGTATTAGGGGAATATTTTATAAAAAACTATTGCAATAAGTTATGCATGAGAGGAGGAGAAAAGTGATACGAAACACGCAGAGAACTCACTTGAATCTTATGTATCAAGAATCACTGACCGTAACTTTTTCTGAATGTGAAGTTCTTTTCAGTACAGTTTAGACAGGCCTAAAAGGCATGGGATGATGACAGAGATGATGAATTATTTTTTAAACTAAAATTTTGTGCTTTCTCCAAGGTTTTGTTAATCCATTTAGATAGGAGCAAGGGCATTTCTAAGACGGCTCTCCTGTGAACACAGCAAGTGTCACAGCTGCCAGGCGAGGCCAAGGTCTCCTTCAGGGTACCAGGGGAAACAACAGGGAAGATTTTCTAACATCCTACTAAAGGATGGCGAAGTGCCCTGCCCCACCCCGCAGAGAATTTGGATCTTTTCTTTCTTCAATAAAACAGGGCTGTATTATCTTGAATATACGTTTGCTTGTTAGAACATATTAAGATGTATTTATTTGCCACCAGTATTTAACATTTTGTGCACATTTTCATAACTGCATCTTACCTTTTAAATTCTGACTCAAAGTGGATAGGCTAGTGTTGACCTTAGAGTGAAAATATGTACTCTAAGAGCTAGTTCTTAATTCTACTGTGGTGGAAAGGCTTTTTTCCTGAATTTTGATGTGGACCTCTCTCATGGAGAGCCCTTCCTTCCAACTGCAAGATATCCTCCCAGGTGTCAGGTGGGACTTGACCCTGGGAACAAGCAGTAGGAACAGACCCATAAAGAGCTTTCATGCATGGAACATGAATTCTTATTAATGGAGACCATAATGTTTTTCTTGTCTTTGGAAAATACATATTATGAAAAACCTTAATTTTTCTTTTTAATGAATGGAAAAACTTTCATGAGGAAAACAGATGGACCTATTAGTACTACATTTTTAAGGCATTTTATATTTGATGGTGCCGTACTTTTAATAAAACTGAAGTTTTTTAGTGGCAATACGGATTTATTTTTTAAACCAGAAAGATAGACCATATTGACTACTTAATACAAAAAAGGGGGGGGAAATGCCAAAAAATAAAATATAAAATTCATTTGAAGCAACATAACAGATAACTGAGCATTTGGCTCAAATTATCTGTTAACTTTCCATAATCTTACTGTATAGGTTTGACCCGCACTCAGGATTAAGAAAAGGTTCTGAGTGAGAGCTGGAGAACGTCTGATACACCTGACTAGGACTTGTTTTCACAACTCAAGAAGAAAAGGAAGACAGTCTTCTAGTGAGCTTAATACAAATTCTAATTACATGGCAAGTAATTTAAAGTTTGGAGGACATTCTAAAGTCTTTTGGGAAATCTTCATGAAGTCATTATACACATTTGATCAAATCTGAAAAAGTCCGCTCAGGAACTGGAGCAGCAGGGAGCTCTAAAGATTACATGTAGCTCTGTGGCCCCTCTTCATGGCCCTAGGGCTTCGGCTGGAGTCCATCTTGTTCTTTCTGAGATCGAACACCAGCAGTACCTTTCAGGCTCACTTCAAGAATCCTGTAACTCCACACCATGGTGACTGTCCAATACCGAAGCTTTAGGATTCTTTGCGCAGTGATGGAAATGACCGAGAAATAAAAATACAAAGGCAAAACCTGATCTCTCCCAATTCTTTTAAGTTACCTAAATATTTTTTCTCATGACAAAATTCTCAAAGGTGTTTTGTTATAAACCATGTTTTCGTTTTTTAATAAATGAAATTTGGTGGTATTTAAGATCTAGACATACCATGTTGCTGTTTCACTTTTCATTGCTTTAGTTGCTTAATATTTAAGCTTTGCTCCATGCCGCCTTTGTCTGTATTTCACATCTTCACAAGCCTATTTCATTTTGTAGACTTGAATGACAAAAGTTGTTTCTCATCTAAAGTATGCTAAGACTTAAATGTTAAAGAATGTTGTGTAACATTTATCCAATAAAGTCTTGATTTTTAAAAATTTAGTTATTTACTTTTGTTTACTTTTTAGGAGTTAGGTTTTAGAGCTTATTATTTTTTAACTATTAAGTTTCAGTCACTAGTTGTTCTTTAGGGAGCGGCTGTAAGTAACATTGCTTCCTTTGGAGAACAGCCTGTTTTTCTTTAATCCTTGGAAGATTTTTAGGGGACCCTCCACGATCAAGGAGTAGAGGAATGGTGAAGAGTCTTATTATGATCTTGTGCACAACATGACTGTTTTCTGATGGAAACAGATATGCTACCCTTCAGAGCTGGATGTAATTGAGCAAATATCTATTGGTATGTTTGTTTCAATTTTTAAGATGTCCTTCCCTTACAGATAAATGGTTGCTTCTTTAAAAGCCCAGCATGTCCGATGTGTTTGACCAGAAACACTATCAGGAAAAAATGAGCCTCTTAAAACTTACCAGACAGCTGAGATTTTTTTTTAGACTGACCCCAAAACTTAACGTTAGTGTGCTTCCCCCGCACTGCACCCCCATTTGAGTAAAGCAGTCCTTTCGAAGGCTGCCTCTTACTCCAGAGTATACATGGAGTCTTTATTCTCTCAAACATTCTCCTGTTTCAGTTAATCTAAAATGAGTATAAAAAGGAGGCCATTGGGGGGCGCCTGGATGGATCAGTGGGTTAAAGCCTCTGCCTTCGGCTCAGGTCATGATCTCAGGGTCCTGGGATCCGCCCCGCATCGGGCTCTCTGCTCAGCAGGGAGCCTACTTCCCCCTCCGTCTCTGCCTACCAGTGATCTCTGTCAGTCAAATAAATAAAATCTTAAAAAAAAAAAAAAAACCAAAAACCTCTGCTCTACTGTACCTGAAAGGCAAGAAAGCTGAGGATTTAAAAAAAAGGAGGCCATTGGAGTCTGGCTCTGTTAGTATCCTTTTCCCCCTCAGGCTTCCTAGTAATGAAAATGGAACTAGAGAGAACCAAGGTAAATGATGTGCACATTATCCAGAAGGCCTCCACAGGACACCCACCCTGCCCCAATATACTCCTGATCATGTTGCATGCGTGTGTCCCATGATGATAGACACACCTAACAGGAGAGGGAATGAGGGATGAGACCCATGGCTACAACTTGGGATCTTTGGTGCTATCTTCATGTAAGAAAATCTAAGTTTGGATTCATGCCCTGAAATCATGTATGGAATGTGTACCAGTACCTTCCTGGACTGTAGAAAAAAGTAAGCTGTTTTCCTTTTATACCCGATAACTCATTTCTCCTCTTTCAAGTAATGACTGATGCTTCCCTCAGTGCTTTGAACAGAGCACACTGTGTTACCTTTAAGCACACCTTTCTCTAGTGATGAACATCACAATGAGATTTCATGGTCTAACAATTCCTTTGCTGATACCAAGAAGGTAATGAACCTGGAATGAAAGAATATACTTCAGGAATACTGTGCCAGAGGAAGAAAGAACTGGCCAAATGCTGTGGCTACGTCACTGTACTTAAGAATACTTCTAGGATTAGCCCTGATTTCCTTGTGAGGCACATTCGTCCAGGCAACCTAACACAAAGGAAGCCAAGTTGAGCTGCTGATACTAAGAGCAGGATGTTTCTATACAAATGACCTGCTTCTACAGACATGGTGGATTCTAACCTAAGTTCTACCAGTCACCTTCCTGACAATCACACAGCCACACTGGCCCAAGACAGGGAAGATGGAATTTTTGTACCGTAAGTGAAATGGTCTAATCTTATGTTTCTGAATTCTGTCTATAAGCTCAGTGCCCAATTCCTGTGGCTCCTGAGTGGACAGCTCAGACCTGTGATCCAAAGAAGGTGACCTCTATCAGCAGTGTGAAGTACCCTGAGTAAAGGAGCGCCTGCTGTGTCACTGCTCCAGAAAAGCACAGCCAGGGGCTTCAGTAAGACAAAGCAACCTTGCAGAAGACAGGGAGGGAGGGGATCCTTCACAGGTTTGAACGCAGCTTCTTTAACACCCGTGGAAAACAAGGCAGTCTGGAAACACTTTTGTAGCAGGAGCTGAAGCTCTAACTTTTGGTTTCTGATGCCAACTCTGCCAATGGCAAGGTCTAATCCGTGTCACACAGCCCCAGGAAAGTACCTGACCTTTCCTCCCACTGAACGTTATGAAGTAAAGCTGCAAACAGCGCGTTCTAATTTGGGGTAGTCAAACTATCCCTATAAAGTAATGTGGACTTGAGACCAACTACCAGAGACCGTGCACTAAGGCCTACGTTCTTTAAAAATATAAACCGTTCTCCCCACTTCACTCCATTCCCTGTCTTCCCGTTCCTGGCTTCCTTGAGGATTTCTGTCTTTAGTCTGTTTGAAGACTTGACTGTGTGTGGATTTCGGACTTGCCACGCTTGGAGAGTTGGAGGGCCCTGGGATGCTCAGGCAGTACAAGGTGGCGTCTGGTGAGTCTAGGTGGAGTGCTTGAGGCAGAATTCCCACCTGGGTGCGCCGTATTAGCAAGCGAGAGCTCTAGGAGCTGGGATTGAATCATGGCCCTAAATCCTTAGCTATAGGCTTCCTTGGCAGCGGGAGAGCAGGCTGTGCCATGCTTTAGCTGAGAGGGAAATGTGAGCTTCCAAAGTTTCCCCTTGAGTGAAAGGGAAAAGAAGGTAGAGTCATATTTCTAGTTCTGGCTGGTAGAACTTAACTCCTACGTGATGGAGCTGATTCCTAGTTTGCAGGCCTCAGAAGGTAAGAAAATTAGAAGATGGCAATATTCTTATTAGAGTACTCCAAGCATTTTTTTTTAAAAAGATTTTATTTATTTATTTGACAGAGATCATAAGTAGGCAGAGAAGCAGGCAGAGAGAGGAGGATGCAGGCTCCCTGCTAAGCAGAGAGCCCGATGTGGGGCTCGATCCCAGAACCCTGGGATCATGACCCGAGCCAAGGGCAGAGGCTTTAACCCGCTGCGCCACCCAGGCGCCCCTCCAAACATTTGTAAAGGCAGACTGGTAGAACCAACGAACCGCGTCTATCCACCCCTAGCTTCACCAATGGCCAGCCTGCAGCCAGGAAGACTGAGATGTTTAGTGCTCTGAAATACGAGGCCATCCTCAGAGTTTCCATAAACTCACGTCATTGGTTTCTCTGATCGTCCCTTGAAGGGTTTGAAGCAACTGTTCTGAGGCTCTGGGGTGATTTTAGCCCCACCTCTTGGGCTGGCTGGTGGCAAGTAATCCATTTCTCATTATCAGGAGAGTCAACGGGCTTGGTCTAGTGTGGATTCAGGGCAGCTCTTCACAGATAGAAGAAAGCAACCGGAAATTACCACCTCCCTTTTTGGTACAGTTCCCTGAAGGCTCAGATTTCTTCGCTGTGCATATACTTCCTCCTTTAAAGGAAAGGAAGGTGACAGAAGGACTAGGCTTGTTACTACCGTGGCACAGAGGAGGCAGACAGAAAAGGAGCAGACCCATCTCACCAAAATTGCTCCAGGATTTTACTAGGGTTTAGGGGTATGTATCAAGCACACGGTACACACTGACAGAAGTATCAGAGAAGAGTTCAAGGCCGTAAGAAATAAGGGAGGGATGAGGTGAAAGGCAGGATCACAGACGTGATCACAGTAATAGGAGCATAGAACAAAGGTAAAACCGGGCTGGCAGTGACCCCTGGCTGCAGGTCCACAGGCCACACCCAAAACACTGAGCGCCCAGGGCTCAGTGCTGCCTTTCCGGCCAACAGTGAGCTTAAGGAAGAAGTCAGATACCAGAGTAAGAGGGACAGAGGCTTAGGTCACTGATTTTTCTGTCCTAGGTGGTTTCTCAGATTGGCACTCTGGTCTTAGAGGGTTTACTGGACCCTTCCCTTTGAAGATTTTTCTTAAGGAGATTAAAGCAGCCATTCATTTGCACAGCTGTTCCCTTCGTCATTGGTCTCTTATCAATGCCTTCCTCTTTGACATTCCAACTTGGGCTGAACTGGAGTCATAAAGAAGGATTTGCTGGTCTGGTTAGCTCTTAGGATCAGACAGACAACCCTGGCAAGTGCATCTTCCCATCAGGTTTGCATTTAATACCTGCTGCCAGTTTCCCATCCCACGGCAGTCTATTCAGACCGTAAAATACCTCCAAAATGTCCCTGTCTGGTCTTCCTAAATCAGTCTGAATTCCAGCATGACAGCTGTGTGAAACGTAATTCAGCAATAGTCTTAGGGGCCAGCTTAGGGACCCACGGAGCACCAGAAATAATCACCAGGCCCACTAATCCTTCCAAAAGCAGTTCCCTACCTTCAAGGACACAAAATGTTGCAGGAAATAGGACTTTTGTCATAGACTAAACAAACATTCATGCCTTTGACTATACCTGAGTAACTCTGAAGGTCCAGTGTGTGAGGTCTTGTCATTTTACTGAAGCTCGAATGTAGGCCCAATGCCACGATGTTCAGGTCATTAGCTAGTAGGCTCGGCCACTCCCCAGCCTCCACATGTTGGCATGGTGTAATAGTCTCTATCCCTACAACCACAACAACTTGTAATCAAGATATGGCATTCTGCGAGGTGGGACAGGGAACAAAAGGATACAGGGGAAGAACCCAGGGGTAGTGCTTGTGATGGAAGGCAAACCTTGTATGGAAAGTAGTTTTCTTGGAAAAAGAAGGGGATCTTAAGAACAGAATTTAACCATAATTCAAATCCGTGATGTGAGGAAAAGGAACTAATCCACAGTGTCCTCCCCATAGAAAAAGCAGCAGATGAGTAGGACTTTGTTGCAGAAATAGTCCCAGTTTCCCAGGTGAACCTTCTGCAGGAGGCTCCAGTGAACGGAAGTCGGAGGGGTACTTAAGACACAGGTGGAGATACAGAGAACACAAGACTCAGTGGAAATGTGATGTGGGAAAAGGTGCAGAGGCTGAAAGGAGAGGACAAGGTGGGGATGCCTGGAAGTCCTGGACATATACAAATCCTTACAGATATCTAAGATGCAAAAATGAAAATTTAAAGATGAGGAGACGTAGGCTTAAGAGCCAGGTTGAGTGCTCGATACCT